TGCTCAGAGCCACGAGGGGCCCAAATGACCAGGGGGAAGGCTTAGATTTCAGTTCAATGGAACCATTGTTGTCCTTCCTGGTACAAGCCTTCCTTGCTCTGGAACTAAGCCTTCTCGGCCAGCAGGGCATAAAGCGGAAGGAACATAAAGCAAACATTTTGCTAGTGGATCACTAACAGTAATGGTGAGTGGTACCATTCTGACTTCCACCCCTTGATTCCTGGATCCGTGAATCTTGCCTATGGGAGACATGGTACCCTATAGTAGATGCTGATTCAAAGCATACACAGCCTTTTGAAGAATCTTGCCTCAGCCCTGCTAGCTATTGCCACCTAGCTGGTGCTGTAACTATATCTTCAAAAGGCCACTCTACGTTTCTGTCAACCAGCTGCTTCTAGATGGTGAGGCAGAGGCACGTGGTAAGACCAGTGAATTTCGTGGGCATGAGCCCATTTCCTCACTTCTTTGACCATAAAATGTGTTCCTTGGTTAGAGACAATGCGGTGTGGAATCCCATGATGGTGGGTAAGGCATCTGGCAGTATGGCCACTATTGGTTCTGCCTGTCCAGGAACAAGGGCTACCTTTCCATCTTCTGATGACCTCTTTGATCTTTCCCACAGTACTGTAGTTTTCACTGTAAATGTCTATCACTTCCTTGGTTAGGTTAATTTCTAAGTCTTTTTCTTGATGCAGTTGTGAATGGCATTATATTCCTGATGTCTTTCTTGGTGAGTTCATTATTGGTGTACAGGAACATTATTAATGTTTGTTAATTTTGTAGCCTGCCACACTACTGAATTTGGTTATTCTAGGAGTCTGTTAGTGGAATTTTTGGGGGTCTTATACATAACAGATCAGTTCAGCTGCAAATAACAATAATTTGACTTTTTCCTTTCTTATAGATGTCCCTTTCTCTTAGCTGACTACCCTGGCTCATATTTCAAGTACTATATTGAACAGGAGTGGTGATGGTGAACATTTTTGTCTTGTTCCTGATTTTAGGGGGAAAACCTCTCAGCTTTCCCTCAGTTAATATGATGCTGGCAGTAGGTTTGTCATGAATGGCTCTTATCAGATTGAGATAAGGTCCTTCTATACCTATTTTCTTCAAGGATTTTTTATTTTGAATGGATATTGGATTTTATCAAAGGTTTTTTGTGCATGTATTGAGATGAGCATACAAT